AGGGGAGGGGAGGGAGGATCTTGGCGCAGATGTGGAGGCTCTGAGCCTCAGGGGGTGGAGGTCACCGCGCTGTAAGCTGGCCACACTGCCCAGGTGGGGAGGGCCCAGGAGGCCGTCTCATTGACCGGCAGCGCCCAGCAGGTGTTGGTGGAGTGAGTGAATATTGAGTCCTCAGATTCCCACCTCGGTTGATCGCTCGTGAAAGCAGGGTCCTGTCACAGCGTCTTTCGAGCCTTTCAGGGGGCCACCTGTGTTCTGATGACAACTCTTCCCTGCTTTTCCAGGGCATCCTACCCGGCCCGCTTTTCTACAAGATGTTGGGATTTTTGCAGCGCCCTGTGGTGGTGACAGCTGACATCAACTTGAATGTCGTGGCTCTGACCGCGGTGGGGTTGCTGAGCCGACTGTGGCAGCTTGCCTATCCAAGGGCCGTGGTGTAAGCCAAGCAACTCCATTTTGGGTGCATCGGAAGGAACTGTAATTTGTTCAGTGCATTGGTGACAGGAAGTGCCTTTTTGAACAGCGTAAATGGGAGAGTAAAATTCCGGGCTTCCTGGTGATGGGTGTCTTTGGCGGTTAGAGGAGAGACCAGCTTGTCCCCAGGACAGCGCCTGCAGAGGCCACCTGTTTGGTCTTGCCCCGTAGGTCAGTAGTGGGTGCAGTAGCCTTGGGTGACCTATGACAGTCTGGAGAGTGGAGGGCTGAAGATTGAGGAATTTGGAAGTGAGTCCTCACTGATACTAGAGTGTGTTCTTTGTCGTAATGGGAAATGATTGCTGTTATTATTAAAGGGCTGTTCATTATCTGATTAATACATGTGTTCTTTTTCACTTAACTTTTTATTATGGCAAATGTCAAACAGATACAAACATACAGAGAATGGTATATTCATCACCCAGCTTCAACAGTTACCAGCTCATAGCCAACCCCTTTGCTGCAGTGGATTTTTTTGAAGCACATCATAAACACTGTGTTTCATTTGTAAACAATTCAGTATCTATCTCTAAAAGCTCAGGATTCTTAAAAATCACGTGACCACAGTAGCATCATCACACCTAACAAGTTGCCAGCAGTTCCTTAATGTCAGTGAAAGCCCCTGATTGAAAGAGGTTTGTTGCGGCTGGAGCCTGCGTGCCTGCCTTTTACACCTGTTTTGTCGGGTCACCAGGTCTGATTCCGACTCTTAGCTGCAGGCCCGCTGGTGGACAGGCAGACTAGCTTTGCGTTCAGGAGGCCTTTTGGAGACTGGCTCACAGTACACCCTAAACCCAAACACAGGGAGAGAAATAAAACCCGTGTCAGGAAAGCCTCCTGAATGCCCAACTTTCGTGGGGCGTTTCCCTTCCTGTCCTTATGGATGTGTGATGCTGCACACGTGTCTTCATAGTTGGGGCAAAAGTCTGACGGTTGCTGTCACTCTCCAAAGTCATTTGGAGACACAGGTGTGCATTTACCCTCATGCCTTTTGCGTACGGTTAAGGTTTCCACTTGACTATATCATGGGTTTGCTTTGCAGTTTTGATGAAGTGTATTATGGGCAGTACGTCTCTTTTTACATGAAGCGGATCTTCTTTTTGGATGGCAGCGGACCACCGTTTGGCCACATGCTGCTGGCCTTGGGAGGTAGGATTCATTATTAAGAGAGGTGGCCCTTTAACACTTATAGGTGACATTTCTCCAGGGCAGAAGCGGTGTCTTACTCTTTATTATTGTTCCCCTATTGACTGCCGAAGTTTGGTGCTTCAGAAATATTTACTGAACAGGATAGTTACTGATTCATCTTCTGTTTTAGGTTATTTAGGAGGATTTGATGGCAACTTTTTGTGGAACAGAATTGGAGCAGGTAAAATGTCATTTTCGTTTCCCTTATTAACTTGCATATATTAGACTGGAGAGGTCGTAGCTCTCATAGGGATTAACAACTATGGTTTATTCATCTGAATCCAAGGTATGGTAAATGTTTGGGTACAAGTGAAAGATTTTCAAAAAGTCCGGTAAATTCCTTAGTGTTTAGTTACAGTAAGTATTTTATCCCTGGTTTTTGGTACACGTAGCACGCTCGCCATATGTGGCATCTGATTGCCGTTATCTTTTGTACGTGTAAATGTTATGTGTTGCCACAATGTTTTTGGAAATAGATGGGGTAAACTTATAAATAAGGATTAACTCATTTCAGAGTCCTCAGCATCACTCCCATACTTACTGAGAACTGGCCCTTGACCACACGGAGCTTCTTTCAAGGCCCCTGCCCGTGGCCTGCACACTCCGTCCCTGATGGGGCCCCCAGCCTTGCATACTTGCATTGTAGTCTGTGAGCGTGGTAGTCTGTGTGAAAAGACACTGCAGTGTAGGGAGGTGGTGTGTGCACAGTGCTCTCAGCCCCGCTGTGGTTGCTCTTCCAGAATACAGCACCAACGTGCCCGTGTGGTCCCTGCGCCTGCTGCCGGCCCTTGCAGGGGCCCTGTCGGTGCCCATGGCCTACCAGATCGTGTGGGAGCTCGGCTTCTCTCACTGTGCCGCCGTGGGGGCCGCTCTTCTGATTCTGATCGGTAAGGCCTGGTGGGACGCAGGGAAGATCCCAGCACCAGCCCTTGTTTAATGTCTGTGCGGCCCCGGAGGGCTCAGGGTTTAGTAGACGTGCCCCCCTGCAGTGTCTGCTGTTCGCAGGATGGAAGGACACACATCCAGTGTGTCCAGATTGGACTCTGGGAGTCACCCCACTCCCAGGCCGGGGGATTGTGGAGCTGTGTGTGCAGACTGTGACATCATGGAGGTGCAGCCGTGTGTAGCGGGGCTGCCCCAAACGGTATTCCTACGCTCGCCCGCCGTGAGCACCTCCCCCTGCAACCGAGTCTGTCCTTGAATGAGAAGCTACCCCGTACACCCACCTCCCAGGCCTTGACCAGTGGAGATGGACTCAGGAATTAGTGGGTATTCCTCAGAAGGGATCTCTTGGCCCAGGTCTATGAACAAAGGACATTAAGTCAGATGAAAATAAAAAGAATTCATGTCTGCTGAGTGACGACCCTAACTGGGCCCCTGTGCCCACGGAGTGTTAGGACGTCCAGGCGGCCTGCAGAATCTGTATTTCTTTTTTCAGACGAGGAAAACGAAGGCTCAGGAAGGGCAGTGACTTCCCCAGGGTCCCCCAGGTCTGGGGAGGCTTGATTCACACCTCAGAAGCGGCCTCCGTGGTTCCGGGGCGTGTCCCCTTCCAGCCACCCCGAGCCCAAACTTGCCACCCTCACGCTCTGGGTCGTTTGACAAGGGCCCTTTCTCGTGGACGTTTGCCCTCGCTGCCCAACACCTGACGCCCGTGTCATTTCCCCGACAGAGAACGCTCTGATCACTCAGTCAAGGCTGATGCTTTTGGAATCAGCGTTGATATTTTTCAACCTGTTGGCCGTGCTGTCTTACCTGAAGTTCTCCAACTCCCAGAAACACGGGTATGGAAAATGGGACGTGCTCTTCTAGTTACTAAGAAAGAGGAGTCCGGGGGGTTGGTCGACCTGAGCAGGTCTGATGCCTTTCCACGCGCGGGAGCCGCCCCAGGCACCTCGACTGGCTCTTGGCTGACTTTACAAATAATCCTCATCTTTCTGTAACTCAGACTAACTGGAAAGATGGTCTGGCCAAAAAGGAAAATTCTGTCAGGACTGGCTGCTCTCTGGGGAGACGAGGAGTCATTTCCTTGTACCTGGAGCTTGGTGCAGCCATCTGACCCCGAGATCTCTGAGGAGGGCACCTTCTCTGGCCTTTGGGAGACATTCTGATCTCCCAGCTCGGCTTCTGTGCTTTGCTCCAGGCCCTTCTCTCCGAGCTGGTGGTTTTGGTTGATACTGACGGGTGTGGCCTGCTCCTGTGCAGTCGGGTGAGTTTGCTCCACAGGTCTGGGGCAGCAGCCATGTCCTCCCTGCTTGTCTCGTCTTAACTTTCTCTCTGTTGTGTCCCTTCAGCGTCAAGTATATGGGTGTGTTCACATACTTACTGGTGCTCGGGGTTGCCGCTGTCCACGCCTGGCACCTGATAGGAGACCAGACGCTGTCAAACGTAGGTGCTGACGTCCTGGGCAGGGCGAGGCTGGCCCTGGGGGGTCGGGGGGCAGGGAGCGCCTGATGACAGGCCTCGGAGCGGGGACAGACCTGGGCCCGCCTTCCCCAAATCAGGGGTGACGTCTCCTCCATCTCTGGCAGGTCCGTGTGCTCTGTCACCTGCTCGCCCGAGCGGTGGCCCTGTTGGTCATCCCCGTCCTCGTGTACCTGCTGTTCTTCTATGTCCACCTGCTGCTGCTCTGCCGCTCCGGGCCCCACGACCAAATCATGTCCAGTGCTTTCCAGGCCAGCTTGGAGGTAAAAGTGACACCCCAGCCATCCTAGAAAGAAGGCCACACTAGACTCAGAGTTTTCTTACGAAACACCGCAAGTGGGCCTTAGAGGAAAAACCAGAACGAGAAGTGAGGCGTCGCTTCACTACCACTACACGAATTCTGAACATGCTGACGGTGTAGGAGGGAACAAGGGGTCCGCTCTCTGCAGTGTGACCTGCTGGGCAGGTGCCAGGCTGCACAGGACAAACGCGACTCTGGCATTCGCTCAAGTAGCTTTGCAAAAATAATAAAATGCTCCAATTGTGGTGTCAGCAATGTAGACTCTGAAGTTGGACAGACCTGCTCTTAAGGGCCGGCTCTGCTGACAGCCATCTCTGTGTGTTTGGGGAAATTTCTTCACTCACCCAAATCCCAGAGTTAGATGGACATAACTGCTCTTATCACGGGATGCCTGTAAGAAGTAAATACGGACGAATGGGGGGAATTCCCTGGTAGTCCAGTGGTTAGGACTCTGCGCTTTCACTGCTGGGGCCCGGGTTCAACCCGTAGTGGGAGAGCAGAGATCCTGCAAGCCGCAAGGACGAGCGGGGAGGGGTTAGGTGAGCGCCTGGCCCAGGGCAGCCTCTGGTCGGTGGTCATACAGCATAACATGTCAGGATTATATCACATGCAGTTGTAGCTAATTGTGAGATACAGTGATAACTGCCCGCACCCGGAATACACCCCGGCTGTCAGAGGGGCTGGCGGAGGTGTCACGCTCTTGCTTTCTCTCTGCCTCTCACCGGCCACCCCTTTGCTCCTGTCTCAGGGGGGGCTGGCGCGGATCACGCAAGGCCAGCCCCTGGAGGTGGCCTACGGTTCCCAGGTCACTCTGAAGAACGTCTTTGGCCAACCTGTGCCCTGCTGGCTTCATTCCCACCAGAGCACCTACCCCGTGATGTAAGGAAAGTGACGTTTTTAATTCGAAGGTTATAACGTGTTTTGACTTTTCACATTTTTGCTATTACCAACTCTCACTTTCTGTGAGTAAGTCTGTGAGACAAAAAAGAAACTGAGCTCTCAGGTCCCGATTATCGACGAGACTAGTTATTTCTGCATGTAAAACCACTATAGGGACTGGCACTGCCTGGGCTCACATCTTCAGCCCCGCTGGGATGTGAATGGATCTGGACAGCTCACTGGGTGGTGTCTGTAGGGACCTTGGTGGGGGGGAGGGGGAGGCCGCGGGCCCCTTGGTGCCCCACCCGCAGATGTACCCTCTTCTCGCAGATACGAGAATGGCCGCGGCAGCTCCCACCAGCAGCAGGTGACCTGCTACCCCTTCAAGGATGTCAACAACTGGTGGATTGTAAAGGACCCCGGGAGGTGAGTACTGGTCGGGGGACACCTCGCCTCGGTCCCGGCCTCCTCTCTGTCCATGCTCCGTCCGCAAAGCCTTGGGACCGGCTCTGTGCCGGGCAGCCCACAGTCCAGGACTTAGGGACCCAGCATCTCCTCCAGGTGTTGCCAGGCGTGTCCCGACTCTCCCCACCCCGTGGTCTGCCCCCACTCCCCGCCGCCCTGCAGACGCCCGTCTCCCTGCCATCATCCCCGCCTCCAGTCCCAGCCAGTCCTGTTGGTTCTGCCGTCAGGGTGTGCGTCTCCCCCATCGATCTGTTTCCACGCCTGCCTCCCCGATACCCCACAGCCCCCCCCAGGTGTCAGGTCAGGCTCCTGCTCAAACCCCTCCCTGAGCTCCAAGCTCCACGGCCCTTAGAACGGATCCAGTCCCCGACTGGTCTGCAGGGCCGCGCCCTCTGTCTCCAGCCCCACTCCCCTCGCAGCGCTCACCCTGCCCCACATTTCTGCAGGAAGGCAGGCTCCTGCCACAGGCTCTGCACCGCTCTCCCCGCAGCCTGGAAGGGTCCCACCGGGGCCTTTTACTCAGCACCTGAAAGTCAGCTCCTCTGGGACGCTGCCTGGCCGCCTCCCAGGCTCCCCACCTTCCCCGCTGTCAGCATCCCGTTGGCTTCCGCGTGTCCACTGTCCGGCTGCCCACATGTTTGCTCCCTGGTTCCCACTCAGTGCAGTAACTTGAGGGTGGTGGCCACGTCCGTCTGGCTCTGCCAGATGCTCAGCTCCCAGGCGCGGGGCAGAGTCTGATAGGCCCTTGCCACTTTCACTGAGCGAACGTGGAGCCACAGTCTGTTAGAAGGATTTCGGGGCAGGTGGGGGCATTCATAGCAGGTATGGCGCAGTTGCAGTCAGTGTGAAGGTGGCTACTAGTGGGGCCACGCCAGGAAGCTTGGAAAGTGACCTGAGGTCTCAGAAGAGAGTTAAATAAAACATACGCGCTGTGTTTTCACACGCGTTCACCTCATACAAGGAACACGGTGACCGGACGGCTGTGCGATTCCACACTGTGCGAGCGAGGACCAGGGCCCCTGCCGCCCCATGAGCGCAGCTACACTTTCTTCCAGGCACCAGCTGGTGGTGAACAACCCCCCGAGGCCCGTGCGGCACGGCGACATCGTGCAGCTGGTGCACGGCATGACCACCCGCCTCCTCAACACGTGAGTCCCCTCCTCTGTTCAGAGCAAAGCGTGACCGCTGCTGTGCGCCACTGCCTTTGGCCTGGCTCTGCCCTGGATGCTGGGGGGCAGGGGACCCCTAGTGGTGGTTGCAGGGTAGGGGGAGAGCCTTAGCGATCTGAGTGGGACAGCAGCCTCTCACCCGTCCTGCAGGGGTGGCCGGGGTGACGGGCCGGGGTGACAGGCCGGGGTGACGAGGAGAGTCCTGCCTGGAATGAAGTGTGGGCGTCCTTGCAGATGGGGGACCCGCGGAAAGGAGAAGTGAGTTCAGGAAGGATCTCAGCTGGGGGATGGAATCAGGAACCCTCCCTGGCTTGACCTCTGGGCAGCCTCCGCATATTGACGGGCCCAGGCCGCCTCTGCTCTCCTTCCACCCGGCCTCTCGGGCCATCTCGTGGGTCTCAGTGACCCCACACTCGCGCCCCAGCCCCGGCCTCCCCGCTGGATGCCTGGGCTCTCTGCCTCCCCTTCTGCTTCCCGGGGAAGGAGCCGGTTGCTCAGTCCTCATCCTCTTCCCTGACCCCTGTAGTCGCTGTGTCGGGAAATCCACGAAGGTCGCATCCTTCTGTCTGCACGCCCAGCCCCGTCCCGCCCCGCCCAGGCCCCATTCCCTTTGTCCTGCGATGCTGGGAACCCCCCTGCCTGCCCCCTTCTGCACACGGCAGCCACAGCTCCCTCTGAAAAACACGCACTCTACTCACTGACCTCACGTCTCTGTGGAGATCCCTCCAGTGACTCCCAGTGTGACTGTCACACTCAGAATCACACCCCACCCCTCCCCTGGCTGCAGGCCCCCCGGGACCTGGCCCTGTGACTCCAGTCACCCTAGCCCCCACTATCCCCAAAATGACCACGTGCAGCCCCCCTGGGGCCTTCACTTGCTCTGTCTGCCTGGAATTTTCTTCAACTCAGATCCCCCCCCACACACACACACCCCACCCCGTGGCCCACTCGCTCACTTTATTCAGGTGTCAGCTGAGATGTCCCCGCAGCAAAAGCGTTGCTGTGTGCTGTGCCTGCTCTGGTTGGGTGTCATTCGTAGCACTCACAGGGCCTGCGCTCGTGACTGACTTCCTTCAGTGTCCCCAGCTCCTCTGCGGGGCCTCGCGCGGAGTCTGGTGAAGCGCGGTTTCCTAGTGCGTGGGCGAGGGGAGCCGGGGTTTCTGGGCGTGTTGTCCTCCGATAGTAGTCATGGCGCCCCAGCCATTTCCGAGACCTGACCTCAGGTTGCTGCCGGCTGACCGGGTGAGCTCCCAGGCTCAGCTCGTCCTCTGAAAGGGGGATGACAGGCCCCACGGTTTAGATGGGTGTCTGCCAGATTCCCACAGAGATGTCATGACTGCAGAGTCTCTGCCCTCTCGTGTTTGATTTATCGCCCAGCTCCTACGTGCTGCATCCTTGGAGTGGCAACCGTGGTGCTTGAAGGCTGAGCTGGCTTTGTTTCCTGAAAAGCGTTTTTTTTCCCGTAAAAGCACAGTGAGCGCCTTTCAGAGGAGCTCGGGAAGCCCCTCGGCAGCGCTGTTTGGTTTTCCAGGCACGACGTCGCGGCCCCCCTGAGCCCTCACTCCCAGGAGGTGTCCTGCTACATCGACTACAATGTCTCCATGCCCGCCCAGAACCTCTGGAGGCTGGTGAGTCTAACCCCAGCGACCGTGCACGCTGGCAGCACAGCCCATTCCAAGCCGCCCCTTAGGACAAGTGACTGCCTGTTCTACGGAAAGGGGGAACTGGGTAGTTTTCTTCTATCAGAGGAAGGAGCTTATGGTACGCTGGACAGGTGGGCACTCCGTATGGGGCTCACGTGGCACTGCTGGCAGAAGGTCCCTCCCACTGTTTGGCCTCCAAACCAGTGCCCTGAGCACACTGGGAGCCTCTTTTGTCAACCCTCACCGGGGATTAAGAAGGGTTTCCCTGGGGACAGGCAGGGCCATCTGGGGGTTGATTCCTGGCACTGCCCTCCCGGGCCCTGGGCCTGTGGTCAGGCAGTGCCCTGGGCAGAGTGGCAGGAGGAAGGTTCTGTCACTGGGCCGTCAGACCGTCTGAAGTCAGGGACACGCGTGAGAAGCACAGCGGCGGTGCAGTGGCTGCACTGGGCTAACCTCCGGGCCGCCACGGGCTGCACGCCTGTAGCACCGGCCCCCCGCCGGGTTCTCGATGGTGTGAGGCCAGGCGCTGCTGGCTCTCCGCGAAGCCAGGGGCCGTGGAGGCCGCCTCTGTCTCTGTGCTGGCGCTCTGTGTCTCATGCAGGTGTCTGTGCAGCTGCCTCTGTCCCCTCCCCTAGTGCTCCTCTGATGTGAGTCGTTGCACCAGCCCCTCACCACCAGGATTCTCCTGGAGGCCCTGCCCACTCCCCTTGCTGCTAAGGCCCATTGCCGATCCTCTCCTGCTCCTCAGCCCCTCTGGTGGCACTTCGAGCCCCACATGCCCCTGTTTCCAGGAACTGAAGCTCCGGGAACAGGCAGAGAGGACGGCTGACCGGAGGGTGAGACCCGGCCTGGCCTCCTTGTCCTGTCCTCACTTAGCCCCTCGGGTTCTTTCTTGTCAGTAGCTACATGACCTCCCGGGGTCATCGCCAGGCTCCAGTAAGTTAAATATGGCAGCGCCAAGCTCTTCAGACGTTAGTTTTCTATTACCCAGTGTCAGGAGTGCCCTCTAAGGGCATCTTTCCAGGGACAGTCTCTGACCTTCCTTTGCACCATCTTTGCGCACCATCAGGCGTCGCAGAAGCTCAAGGGTGAGCTTCCGTCTTTAAGTCCCCACTGAAAAGGCTGCCCTGTGCAGTCTCTGGAGGAGGGCAGTGTCCGCCTCCCTCTGACCACCCCCCTCCAGCACCTTGCACAGGCGTCAGCAATAAAGTTGATGACACGGTCTGGGATCAGCCGTCAGCTCCCCTTGGGGGACTGTCCCCTCGTATCAGACCAAATCAGTCTCACTGTGTTGACTGGTCTTCGGCTTTACATTTAAGGAAATTTGAAAAAGAGTGAAATAACGGACCAGACCTGCTTTTACAGGACATCGTGAACAGAGAGTCGGACACGGACGTCTGGAAGACCATCTTGTCAGAGGTCCGGTTTGTGCACGTGAACACCTCAGCCATCCTCAAGGTCAGTGATGCTGCCTCACACAGTCCTGCCAGGTGGGACAGAATGAAGTGTTGCGGGAGTGGTGAGGGCCCTCTGTGACTGCTCAGAACCAAACCCTATCATGACACTCCCCAGAGGAGAGCCGGCCGCCCTTGTCAGCTGCTGGCCAAGTGACCGGGGTGGGGTCCCCCGGGGCCAGGCTGAGCCGGGCCCTCCCTCACACCCTCCCCACTTCTCTTCGCCAGCTGAGCGGGGCGCCCCTCCCGGACTGGGGCTTTCGGCAGCTGGAGGTGGTCGGGGAGCAGCTGTCCCGGGGCTACCACGGGAGCGCCGTGTGGAGCGTGGAGGAACACCGCTACGGCAGGAGTGAGCCCCAGCCGCGTGGGAGGGGCCACGTGCGCTCCGTGCTCCGCTGCAGACCCTCGCCCTCCCCCTGTAGCTGGAGCGGTGATAGGACTCGGGGTGGGGTCCGGTGTCCCTGGAAGGCAGGGCAAGCCGAGCTTTCTGACTCGAAGGATGCTGAGCGGGTGGGTGGGCCGTGTACTGTGGGGAAAACCACGTGGAGTGGCGCACTCTGACTGAGTCCTGGCGGGTTGTTTGAAAAGCAGCTGGCAGCTGCCACTGGGAGCTCCCTGATCTGGTTCTGCTTGTATCTTCTGGGTTCCGGTGTGTCTGCCAGGCCAGGAGCAGAAGGAGAGGGAACTGGAGCTGCACTCCCCTACGCAGACGGACGTCAGCAGAAACCTCAGCTTCATGGCCAGATTCTCGGAGCTGCAGGTGACAGGCGGGCGGAGGGGTGGGCAACCTTGCCCACTGGGTGCTGGCTCCTCGCCAGGGAAGGCACTGCAGTCTGTAGAACTCCCATCTGCCCAGTGTCAGCCTTTAAACTGGGACCTGACTCGGCAGGGAGGGAGTATTTCCCTCTGTCCACTCTTAAGTACATGCCTGGCGCTGTCGGTCCCCTGCCTCCTGGCTCTCCTGCCTTGTGGCTCTGCCGGCAGGAACAGTCAGGAGCCAAGGAGACTGTGCAGCAGAGTGACACTGCACACAGGTCAGGGCAGGACGGGCCACGGTCAACACGGTGCAGCCCCAGAGAACTCAGGGTCCCAAATCTAAAAGCACCCTTAGTGCCCAGTCCCATCCCTTAAACAGACGAGGCGACTGGAGCCCAGGGGTAGGTGCCTCTTGGGCTCCTCAGCCCGTTGCGCTGCCTCTGTGGCATGATCTAAGTGAATTTGAGGTTGGACGCCCACGTGAGAGGGGCAGCAGTTTACTCTGCCCTCTGGCAGATCCCTGAGCGATGAAGGCGGCTGGCTGTCCGTGTGACTCCCAGCGGCCTCTGCTTTCCGCAGTGGCGGATGCTGACAGTGAGAAGCGACGATTCCGAACACAAATACAGCTCCACGCCGCTGGACTGGGTCACGCTAGACACCAACATCGCCTACTGGCTGCACCCCAGGACCAGTGTAAGCAGAGCGTCTGTGCGGCAGAGCTGTCTTGCGCCTGGGAGTTCTGTGATGTTAAGAGCAGCTGTTGCATCCGACCAAGTCCCAGCCTTCCTGCGCTTCCCTAACAAAATCCTGGGACTTGTTTTTAGTGCTTTGGCAGCTCGAGGCCAGAGCTGCCCTGAGATGCCAAGGAGTCGGGTCCTAGCTTGTCCACAGGTCGAGGGAAACCAGGCTCGGTGGCTGCGGTGGGAGCGCATGGCTCCCCTTCTCTGGCAGACGTGGTTTTTAAAACAGCCCTGGTTGATTTCCCGCATGACACATGGCGTCTGGGCTGGTCAGTGCTCTGTTTCCCTGTACATCATTTCTCTTCACCTGGGAGAGCAAACGCAGCACGTAGCGGGTGCCCAGTAATTACCCGCTGAGGGGGGGTATGTACTCAAGATGCTCGCCCTTTTCCTCTCCCCCCGGAAGTGGAAGGCCACGGCTCGCTGAGAAGCGGGGTCTGAGATGAGCAGGTCCTCAGCGCTCTGCAGCTCTGCATCAGCTCCCCTGGGAGCAGCTCTGTTGTCAGGACAGAATCCCGTCTACTCCCGGTTCTCAGTTTCAGCTTACGGAGCTGAGAACCTTCGCACGTCCGTCCTGGCAGTGAGGGCGGAGGGTGTGGTGGGTGCCCGTGTCTGCTCTGGGCTGTGGCGTCTTGGCTGAGGTGACAGGGTCTCTCTGTGCACCCGCAGGCACAGATCCACCTGCTCGGAAACATCGTGATCTGGGCCTCGGCCAGCCTCGCCACCCTGGTGTATGCCCTGCTCTTCACCTGGTACCTGTTCAGACGCCAAAGAAGAGCCTGCGACCTCCCTGAGGGTCCGTGCAGCTGCCCACACGCGTCTCACGCCCCCTCCTTCTGGTTCTGACGGGAGCTCCTTGTGCTTCGGGGGTCAGCCCAGCCGCACCAGCAAGCAGGGCCTTGAGGCCACCTCTTTGTTTCTGCCTCGAGGGAACTTCTGTCTCTTCCCCAGAGACAGAATGTTGCAGTCCAGTCCCCGCATCGCCTTCAAGGCTTCTCCGGGGACGTGCAGGTGTCGGGCAGGAATTGCTTCCTGACCCCAGGACCCTGGAAGTGGCTGATGGGACAGAGGCGCCAGCGGGCACTTAGTCAAGGGTGGTGGTCTGCAAGGACAGAGACCCCCTTCAGACCATCCTGACACAGGAAAGGAGTGAACATCCAGGGCAGGGCAGGGCCCCAAAGGCCGTCAGGGGCAGGGAGGCGCCTCCTCTGGGCTCAGCTCCGAGCTGGCCGTTCTCTCCACTGACTCCCGGCTCTCCTGGGCGGGTGCATGGGTCCAGCCCCTCCACTGCTCCCTGAGGAGTGAGACCCAGCTCGGAATCTCCGGGTGAGCCAAGGCCAGCGGGCAGTCGGGAATAAGCTGGGCCTGGCCCCCAGGAAGCTGGCATTTCTCAGGAAGGGGACGGTAGTACCAGCAGGAAGTTACAGGAGGTTCTTAGGACAGTCTGTCCTTCCTCCAGAAATGTGGGAAGGCTGGGAGGGGACACAGAGAAATCAGGAGCCGGAGCTCGCGTGCACCTCACGGACGCGGAGGCCGGCCTGCTGGGCCGTCGGCAGCGCCGGCTCGAGATGGCCTTTTCCCGCAGATTGCTGGCCGCGCTGGGTGCTGGCCGGGGCTCTGTGCGCCGGGGGCTGGGCCGTGAACTACGTCCCCTTCTTCATGATGGAGAAGACGCTCTTTCTCTACCACTACCTGCCCGCACTCACCTTCCAGATCCTGCTGCTTCCTGTGGTCTTGGAGCACGTCAGCGACCACCTGTGCAGGTAGGGGGCCTTGGCAGCCACGCCCCCCTGGGGGTCCGGGTCTAGGGGAGTCTTGAATGGCGATTCCAGTGTGATGCAGATGGGGTTAGGATCACAAGCAAGGCTCTGCAGGGGTTCAGAGGCTGCCGGGAGAGGAAGGTAGGTGGCTGATGTGCACGGCAGATGGGGAAGGCCCTCAGGGCCTGGCGAGCACCAGGAGCAAAGAGAAGGAAAGGGAAACGTGGGGCGTGACCCGGAGCAGCCGGTGGTTCGTGGCCGGACTGCGTGGTGCATGGCAGAGATAAACCAGGAAGCTTTGTAAACCAGAGCGAGTTCGGGAGGCCAGGGCAGAGGGGGAGCCCTCTCTCTTTGGTCCCCAGGAGCCTGGTAGTACGTCAGGAGGGCTGCACTGTGCTCACGGGGGGTTCGGGGGCAATACCCCGGCATCAGACCTTAGATGGAGCAGAAGCTGCGGAATTCTGGAAGCAGAGCGAGTGAGGAGGGTGGGGCTTAGCTCATCGGGCAGGACGTGGTGAGGGCTGATGGTCAGGCAGGGGGTGGCTGGAGGAAGGAAAGGCCGGGGTAGGTGACCACGTGGGCGACGGATGCCCAGAGGACATCGTGGTGGGGAGGGGTCGGCCTCCCCACGCCCGTGCTCCGCCCTGGGCCGGCAGGTCCCAGCTCCAGAGGAGCCTCTTCGGTGCGCTGGTCGTGGCGTGGTTTGCCTCTGCCTGTCATGTGTCCAACACGCTGCGCCCGCTAACCTACGGGGACAGGTCACTCTCGCCCAGCGAACTCAAGGCCCTTCGCTGGAAAGACAGCTGGGATATCCTGATCCGGAAATAGTAGCAGGACGCGGACACAGTGGCGGACGGCAGGGCCAGGTCAGGACAAAGTAGAGCCGTCTTATGAGCGTGTTTACTTCTGACAACGCAGAGTGGCTCTGAGCGTGGTGGAGACTCAGGCTCGGCAGGGATTCTGTTCTGGTTTCGCTGTTGAAACAGTCCTCTGACGAGCACCTCGTTTTGAGCAAAGTCTGTCTTCCCCGGACCATAAAGAACAACGCCCTCCACGTCTGCTGACTCCTAGGAGCCCCGTGAACTAGCCGAGTGTGGAGCGGCCGGCGTGGGGCTCCTGTCGGCCTAGATGAAGGCAGGGAGGCCCCGGTCTTGCTGTCAGAGGCTGGTGGTGGGCTTTGGCTGACTGGCCCGCTGACCTGCTGACCTGCTGACCCCTTGAGGCCGCGGGGAATCACCCTCATGGTTCAGGGGCACACGAGCTACTGCAGCACCAGCCTGAGGAGGTTGTGCGAGGCTGGCTGTTCCTCCTCGCCATCGCTGACCCTAACCGCTGCCCGGAGAGCCTGCTGAGAGGTGCGTGAGCGACTAGCCTCTTCAACCGTCAGGGTTTGTGTCATCCATACATTTCCTCGTCCTGAATCTGCCTTTTCTTAATGTAATTAAAAAGGGACAAAGTGACATTCATATTTGGTATTATTTATTGGATCTCTCCCCAAAAGGGCACAGTAAGTTTGACAAAACTTTCACAGTCATCAGAAACCAGCCACCGTGCTCAGCTGAGCTCAACTGATGTCCCTGTGGAACTACAGTTAGAACTTGACAGCTGGTGGCTTTTGCAGAAACAGCCGCGTGGGAGGGAGGACAAACGAGGACAAGACCATGACTGCTTGTGAGGCGCGGACGCCGCGTGAGCACCGGGGACCGGCCACCTTTGGGCTGTGGCATCTGCTCACGCCTCTCTGGTCCACACACGCCTTGACTGGAGGTGATGTGCCCTTGACCTGGCCGAGGGCGACACCAGGAAAGACCTGTCCAGACAGCAGCCTGGGCTCAGGGGCCCTGAGTAGGACTGCGTGAGGACACTGTGCCCGCCAGAAGGCAGACCCCCAAGCACGCAGACTCGGGCTGGGCAGGTGGGGGCCCTGCTTGTGTTTGGTGCTGGTTAAGGAAAAGCTTGCTCCCCAGGGCTCCCTCCTGGTTCTGCCTTCCGAGCACAGGCCGGAGCACAGGTCTATGGCCCCTCGTGTACCAGGTCAGTGTGTACCAGGAGCACAACCTTGCTGGTGGGTCATGAAATTGGGTTACTAGGTCACAGCGAGCATGGTGTCAGCGACGGACTAAAACAGAAAACGTGTGGTTGTGTAACACATAAAAAGGAGTGTTACCTCTTTACACTTTTCAGTTACACGTGTGTGAACCACATCATACTAGTCTCTCTTGCTGTGGGTCCACTGTCAAAATCACAGCGTCCGGGCTCTCTCTTCAACGTTCCCCAAATATGTGACTCGCTCACCACACGTTCTGTGGCGTTTCTCAGTAACTAAAGAGACCTTTAAGCCTCTGTGATGTGAGGAAGCGGGTGGAAAGGTCAGGGCTGCCTGCAGACATCCTGTCAGACCCAGTCTGAATAACTCGTCCAGGTTTCCTGAATTACCGAGGGACGCCTGGACTCCAGCACCACCCCGGCCACGGTTGTGTGTTTAGGGGCAGGGGGGGGCATCTCTGGACCCGCGGGAGCTGAGCACCCCACTCCTCAGTGGGGCCTGCTGCTGGACTCCAGGTGCGACCGTTTGCCAGAGGTCAGCACTGCGGGGTGGTCTCCCGGCTCAGGAAACGTCCTCTTGTAGCTGCGCCCGTTGGACCCTCCGCGATGCCACTTGCAGATGTCGCCGTTGAGGATGTCTTGGATGTGCTGCACGATAAGGTTGATGGCCACTGCAGCAGAGACAGACAGAGCTGGGTCAGCTGCCCCCACTCTCCATCGCGACACGCCGGGAGGGATGCCCGCCCAGCGCCAACCTGGCGCTAACTGGTGAAGCACACGGTTTTCCTCCCTGCAGCATCTGTGTGGCGCTGAGTCTCAGCAGACAGACAAGTGCACGCTGGGGCCTGAGCACAATAAAGCCTACCTGGCTCGGTCGGCGAGGGTTTCTGTTAACTAACCGTGGTTAAGATACCTTCTGCTAATGAGTGACTCCCTGTCAGTTTTCCATATATTTTTTTTTCCCGCCAGCTTCCCTGAGATATAATTGACATAATGCATTGTGTCAGTTTAACGTGTACAATGTGTTAACTGTTTTTCCAAGTGCATTTGAAACCTGTGCCACAGATGTACACAGACAGGCCTCACGCGCTGGGGGTGTCTCAGTAACCACGACAGGATGGGCAGTGCCTGCTTCAGGGTCCTGGGAGGAGTGGGGGCAGCCGGCAGGCCTGGTCCTTACCCATGTTGTCAACCCCTCGAGGGATTATCACATCAGCATACTTCTTCGTCTGCAAGGCAAGGAAAGGAAAGTCTCGTAAGGATCCCTGTCCCCCGGATGGTTTCAGCTTGCTTGGGGCTAGATGCAGGGAAGCAAGCCCGGGCCCGTCATGGCAGATGGGGGGGCAGGGATTCAGGGTATCTGTCAACCAGGTGAGAGACGGTGACCCCAGAAGTGAGGGAAGGTGAGCTGAGACAAGCTCTAACAGCGCTTGTCTTCCGGCGTCTCTGAGATGCTTGTCTCTCATGAGCACTGCTGTAGGGGCCAGTTCTCTGTGCTGACCGCCTGGTTCTCTGGGCCGAGTGACTACACACTTGGCCCACTACACACAGGGTTCTTGACCCTGTGAGAGCAGGGCTGCGCTGCACGCGAGGACCTGCTCCCGTTCCTTCCCTGCCCCTCATCTGCTCCCACGCCGAGGAACTCGCTCCCTGTTGGGCACCCTGTGGCACCACCGAGGAGGGACCCCAACCAGATGCTGCTGAGGGGGCCGAATCTGAAGCAGCGGAGGGAGGCAAGGGAGGAAACGGTCTGGGCCCAGAGACAGAACTGCAGATCGCTGAGTGTTGCCAGCGTGTGGATTTGGGCCAAGGAGGCCTGTCACACAGATTAGCCACGGGGGCAGGCGGGACCAAGTCCTGGGGCAGCTGTGTCCGCAGGCAGTGGAGACCCACGGGAGACGTGAGCGCGAGAGGGCCAGGGCTGCCTCCCATGGGGCTGTGGACAGTGGGCTGCGGGGGCCAAGAGGGGTGGAGCCCAGCAAAGAGCTAAGAAAGGTCTCTTCCCTTTGGGGACGCGGGGGACACGGCTAGCTCGTCAACTCGCTGTGTGGCTACAGGTAAAGGGGAGGGAGAGACGGAGGGTCCGGCCCAGAGCGGTCCTGCTTCCACCCAGGGGCACCCGGTCACATCTGGAGTCCGGAGTTTTACCGTAAACGACCTACTTTGCCAAATGTCTTTCTGTAAATAAGACAAACTGCAAAACAGTCAATTTACTTTTCTGATCACTTTCCAGAAACTTCAGAGAACATGAATGTAAAATAAAAAATGTTTTCTTGAAATAGCAGAAACAGAACTCCTTCGTCCTGTTTATCTAAAGCAGGAATCCTGGTTCTAATTCCTTTGTGCCTCATTTTTCTCTTTAAGAAGCAAAATATTGTTCAATACCCCTTTAAATCCTTACGCAAGTCCTATCTAGTGACAGTGAAGACTGTGAGATGGAGGAAGACAGATGGCCACAAGCAGTGAATTCCTCGTCTATAGGCCGGCCGGCCTTCCAGTGCCAGCCAAAGGCAGCCAGAGAAACACACGGCATGGATGACGTTTCTGAGCACCTACTGTGTGCCAGACACCACTTTGGCAGCCAACAGACAAAAATCCCTGCCCCTGTGGAGCCCACCGTTCTAAGGCGGGGAAGGAAATGCACGGTGTGGGTCAGGGGAGAAATGCAGACAGGCCAGGAGGGAGGCAGTGCCGGCGCCAGGGGTGAAGCCTGGGGGGAGGGGCCGGGCGGCGAGGAGGAGGCAGTGGGGAAGGGGTGATGGGGAGAACAGAGGACACATTCACAGCTGAGAACGGCTCCTCGGGAACGTGGGTACAAGAAGCTAACTTCTCCATTTATACAGCAGACCACGTCCATCCATGGCTTGGCTCCCACAGAACGGGACACCGGGGGTCCTTCTGAAAAGGGAGAAAAGGAGGTCCCCAAGCAAGCGGAAGGCGGTACCGGCAGGCAGAACTCCTCGAAGGCCGGCTTGACGAAGGTGGTGTACTGCGTCAGGATCTGCTCCAGCTCCCGGCCGCGGTGCACGTCCCGGAGAACTGTGGCGACAGGAGCAGAGTGGGGACCTTCAGACCCCCGGGGCCCGTGGCCGGGCCGGCCAGGGGCAGAGAGGCCCACGTCCGCCTTACCTCTTCGCGACAGCCTGACATCAGGGTCAGTGTCCACAAAGAGTCGCAGGTGGAACATGTCCCGGATCTCCTGGCTGTAGAAGGCCAGGATGCCCTCGAACAGGACCACATCTGCAGGGTAGACCGCCGTGGTCTCTGCTAACCTGCAGGGTGAGACCGGGAAGGGGCCCTGCCGTCAGCTTCAGTCCCCGGGTGTGGACTCCGTGCTGCGGACAGATCGTGGTGGTGGCGGCGGCGGCGGGGGGGG